GGCCAATAATGATACTAGGCACTGCAAGATAAACATCTCTGATTCAGAATGCTTGTCTACTACACATGGGTGATGTTTTGAATTGTGATAAATGGGTAGGCTATATCAACAATCTGAATATTTTGATTTTTCCAATAACAAAGTAGGACTAGATTCATACATATTAGGGAATACCGGTACTTCTCTGAGAGCAGGGGTGTGTAACCTGCGAGCCAAATGCAGCCCACAAGAAAAGCTGATGCGGCCCACAGAGAAGTGCGAATTTTGAATAGTGTGCGGCCTGTGAAATGAGTTTTAAGTTAGTTTGATCCGGTATGTACGAGTAATTAATTCCTTTGCGTTGCAAAGTCTGTATCTGAGCTTGTGTGAAGCAAATAACACATGCAGACATGTCACAAGATCAATAACCAAAACTTTGGTGTCTGCAACTACTAGGAAGCCCATGTTTCACCCAGTTATTTGTATCTGGCCCTCGTATATTAAAGGTTGAGCAGCGCACCCCTACTCTAGAGCCCTATTGGAAAAGAAGTTTAAAACACCTCAAAGGAAAAATGAGAACAATTATAATACAGTAATAACCTTGTCCTTATAGTGATAATTTACACAAAGATTCAATATTTGAGATAATATTAGTAACTCAATGCTGTGTTATCATATTTTTTTTGAATATGGTCACACATGACAGCATGCTGGCATGAGCAATCTGCAAAGTGAATATCTTTGAAATCGGTATCATTTTTGATTGCTTTCATGACTATGAAAACCTAATAATTCTCCTTCTCAGATACAACTTAGTTGTTACTTGTTAGTGTGTGTTTTGAGTAGGTTTTGTTTCAATCTCAGCTAGCACAATTTTATTAGATGAATGATTGACATTGAAAATGTACAAAATTAATAATCACCGTCCACTAGTCAAAGATGAAATGCTTAGTAGGTCTACTATTTTTATTATAGGAACATGAACTAGTTGTGATACGGTGTGATCCTGAAAAAATGAACACATGAGTGTTTTAATTACTTTAAAAATATATTTAATTTGTTTCAGCTCCGATTTTTGTTTGTGTATGATTTTACCATAAAAGTTTCAGAATATAGTATCATCACTTTGTACTAAAGTTATGTTCTCCATATTATATGTTTGAAGTAATCTCCTTGGCGTTTGATTTGAGCCAGAAGAACATTCATTGTGCAAAATTGTCAATCATTCACTTGGTTTTCTGTTGAAGCGCACTTTCTACTTTTTTCAGTAGCAATGATAATGTTTACTCGGGCACAGCACCTCCGAAGGAAGTTTTCAAGAGACCATTACACTCAGTAAAGGGCGCGGTGAAGGTAACCATTTCCAACATGGCCTAATTGCTACCTGATATTAGAGCTAAAAATGAAAGAGATCAAATGGTGAATACAGAATGTTAGATGGTCGTGCTAATACATGGATGATGGATAGATGGATTGATGGTAGTCAACCCCCCACACATCAAATCACTGGCTGGGAGAGCGATTTCAAAAAAAGATGATCAGCAGTGATGTCGGGTGGGCATCTCATTCATTGGCCTTCAACCTTCAGATTTTTACTTTAAGAGTATTTGAAAGACAATGTATATCAGAACAATTATTGTTTAACTTAAGATTGCAATCGAACCCAAAATTAGGGAAGAGGAGTGTGTAAGAGTGATTGACAATTTCGGCAACATATGCAAATCTGTTTTCAATGCCGAGGGGGTCATTCAGATCACATTCCAGAGAGAACATAACTTTTGTGCATAATGCCCTAGATTTCTGAAACTTTTGTGTACAATGATGCGCGAATGGAAGTTCCGAGTGTAAACAAAATTAAATATTCACTCCATTTTTATAAAAGTAATTAAGGAATTTATGGGTTCTGTTTTTTGTGTCACTCTGTATTTTATTATACTCATAATATGGATCAAAGAATATGTAGCTGTTATTGTTTGAATGTCCCTAATAGAAATGTCTATATCTAAATATTTTGGTATCAAACTGCGAAGTTGGTACATTTTATCAAAGCAAGTAAACATTAATTTTTATTACTGCCCTCATAAATGCCTACTACGTAATATCAATATGTATCATCAATATGTATCGGTAGCCATTGGCCAATTTAGTCACTAGTCTGATATTATGTTTTCTATTATTATCTGTAAGTTTATTTATGAGCTCAAGTTAAATTATAGTCTAGAACAGTGCTTCCCAAACTTTTTGTACCATCGCCCCCCTACAGTAGTTTATACAACTTCATCGCCCCCCGGCACTGCAAAAAAATTGAAGTCTGAAACGAATATATTACAGACCAAATACGGAGACAAATCATAGTTTATAGTGTTTTTGATTGAGATGGATGAGCTTGGTGTTCTTCAGCGAGTTTTTTAATATATATAAAATTACCCCGTTTACTAATGGAAAGGCGATTTAGTTGTTTTGATACCAATAGTGTCACGGCTGAAAACCCCCTTTTCACCATATCAGAAGTCGGAAATGAAAGAATCCAGGGTTCTACCTTCTCAAAAACAAAATTAATTTTTCAAAACTTATATTAATGATTTAGGTACATCTCATTTATCCCTACAGCCTGATGACCTTCACCGAAATACATGATATATAACGGTCTTCGGTTAAATCCATCCCCCATTCCTCATCCTACCATGTCCTCCAGTCAGTCCGATCACCAGTCCATAGAATTAATCAGCCATTTGTTTTGGATTAGTGAACTTGGATGGCTCAGGGGTCGGCAAATTTCAAGTCGCTCGCGGGACAAAATTTAGGGTTGCTATTCTTTTGCGGATCGCATATATTTTTTGAATGTTAAAAACGGAACATCGTGCAAAAACTGCGACAATTCGTGAACTCCACTCAGTCGTCTTATTAAAAAATTATTACAATGACATTTAATGTGACGCCAAGATTGGAAGATTTTCTGAATGAGCATCACTAATCCTAGTTTATTGCTTGTTCTTTGTAATGTTCATTACAAAAATGATTGTTCGCACAAATATGTACTTCCAAACATCGAAGTGAATATTTTTGCATGGTTTGTGAAACTTTGATAAAGAAGATACATTCTTACAAAAATTAAGCAGTGATGAATCTCTCGAATAGAATATGAATTTAATTTCCTTATTGCAATACAATATATTCGTATATTTACTGCGCTATTGAACCCCTGCATTCAGCATCAGCTTTTCTGCGTGTTTTCATTTGTCTAATTATTATAATTATAAATTGTAAGCTCGTTAAACGAGTATCTGTTTAATAGAATTTTTAGGATATAATAAAATTTAGTGTAAACGTGTCTCACGATAAATTCTGTTACTTAAAAAAATGTAATTTACTCCTCGAGCGTAGATTATAAATAAAATTAATTCATCGTCAAAACCGCCGTTTGGATGTTTCCCCGGGCATAGACTTCCTTGTTTACTTCGTGACATTAGCCAATCAGCAAGATGCAAAAACAAACGTAACAATGGCCGCTTTCGCATCCGCTCAAACAGATTTTCAGACGTTGTCTTGAACATTACCCCATTTTCGCGTTTTCGAATTATATTCGTTAGTTTTTAGTTGTTTTCCGGATTTTACATATAAATCAAATAAGTCAATGATCACTTTGTCTTCCTAGAATTTTCAGTTTAATTACAGTAATCAAAAATTAGTATAGAAATAGCTGTAGTAGACTTGTCTAAAATTCTTTACCGGTACTTTTAAAAAACAGATTGTTATATGCGATGAATCATAATTATGGTTTGAAACAAATACCCCCTTTTACAGGCAACAACTCGCGAAACCACTCATAAAATAAGCACTGAATATTTTAAAATATTAAAGCATAAAAAGAATTTTTAGGGGTCAAAGGTCGGGAAAGGTCCATTCAATGATGCGTGCTGGGCCAGATATTTTACTCCGGCCGTATTTTTTGAACTACTAGGATACGCAAACTAACGTACCTCACTGCGAAGACGAGTCCAGCAATCCTTTCACGTGTGATAATCTCCAACGCGATTCAAATCTACGAAATCACGCAGAGTACAGTACCGTAATCAAGTGCACGATGCGCCGAACAAAAACAGGTTTTGCGAATCGCCCCCCTATCGCCCCTTTTGGCTCTTTTCGCCCCCCTATCGCCCCCTTCGACTTTTTCGCCCCCCTCTTTATTGTTTTCGCCCACCGGGGGGCGATATCGCCCACTTTGGGAATCACTGGTCTAGAAGTCATAGTCTCCTTCAGACAAAACAAAATATAAGTACAAAGCAAATATCAATCTACGATGAATATGATGTCGTTTTAATTCAAATGCTGGAACATGTTTTCACACAGATGGCTTGAGATGTCTTATTACATCCATTTACGTTCTATTGTACCCAATTGTTTACCTTTAGATCGTTGTTTGTTCAGAACAGATTAGAATCCATTTGTTTGATGTGATGACAAAGCCTTATTAGATTTCCGAGTTTTGTTCGTACAAACATGAGTCACTATAAAATTTTATTTAAAATCACGAAATCTAAAACGGCCCGTATTTGTTCAATTACTTATGTAATGCTTTGTGAAATCTTACAGGATGCCATATTTTCATGTTAGGGTTTGAATATTGACAATGTGGTCACTTTACCTGAAGTGAAATTAAATCAAAATGAATTTCAGCAAACATGTCGGCATATTTCGTAATCCATAATAAAATTTATATGTTGTTCCATGTTTCAATTTCATTGTCCATTGTAACACTAACTTATATGATATGCAGCACATATAAGTTGTGTTGTGTGATCTTTAGATTTTTTAGGTAGAAAATTTAGTTACTGTATTTAGGATTCATGCATTCATGATAAAAATAGTTATTACGTAAAACGTGTTACAATTGCTTACAGGTAATTAATATTAATAATACTTGATATTTATAACATCTATAGTTTTATACCTTTTAATGTGTAATGCTTTTAAGGAAAACACTGATTTTATTTTTTAATCCCATAATTTTATCTCTTTAGATATTTATATGTGAAGTAGATAAATTTAATATCTGAAATGGCTAAAGATCGTGGTGAAGCTGATGCAAAAGTAACATATGAAGACCAGAAAAAAATCAATCTATTTGCTAGGAAAAATGCACGATTCGTTGATCTCAAAGAAGAAATTGAAGCCAAGAAAAAAGAGCTGCAGAATCTTGAAGATGCATCGGATGACTTAATGCTTTTAGATGAAGATGAAGCAGGGCCTGTGCCATATTTAATTGGGGAAGTGTTTGTCAATCATTCAATGGATAAAACACAAGAACTTATCGAAAATGCAAAAGAAAATATTCAAGCTGAAATCAAGAAACTTGAAACAACTAGTTCAGAAATCAAATCGGTTATGGATGATCTAAAAGTAAAACTTTATGCAAAATTTGGAGATCAAATTAATTTAGAGCCTGATGATGAATAAGTTAATAGTAAATTAACAGTAATAGAATATAACATGCATGCTAGTAGTATATTTATTGTAAGGACTTCTGTTGTGCAGGGAAAGCTTGACAATGAGAAATTATCAAATGATTGGAATAAGTAATCAATTCTGTGAAGTTTTGTCGTATTTCTGGAATATTAGAATGCAATGAGTGTTTTCAATTAATTATTTTCGCCTATTTAATGTTGCTGCTGAATATGAACTACCGGTATGTTTTCAATGATGCACAGGACAGGACTTATAATTTAAAGTACACTATTCCATTATTAAGTGTATAATTCATTACTTTGTTATCAGTGTCTCAGTGACTTTCTGAAGTATTTTTAAACAAATAATTCAGGCAGATTAAAATGTTCAATTTATCTGGTGTATCGACTGTAGTAATGCATGAAGACTTCTTCATCAATGTATATCTAAAGCAATATTTTCAAGTTTTTCTGGAATTCTGTTCATGCTTAAATATTGGCCATTATGTTTCCATTATGGGAATTTCTCTACTCATGCATTACAATTGTACACATTTTTAGGTCTAAGTAGTTATAGTATTCAGTAGAACCTTCAGGAATGAGTTGTCAAAAGGGAAACACACAAAGATCAAGACCACAAAAACATCAGAACCATACTGCATGGAAATCGAACAATACTAATCAGGTTTTGAAGGGAAGTCGAAATTTTACAAATAATGTTTGCACTAAATGTAAAGAACTCATTGAATGGAAATTGAAATATAACAAATACAAACCTCTGTCAAAACCAAAAAAATGCACAAAATGTGAAGGAAAAAATATTAAAGTTGCTTACCATATATTATGTGAAAATTGCGCAATGTCATTGAAACTTTGCTCTAAGTGTGGGACAGTGAAAGAAAGTGATGTTTCAGAGGAAGGTGATGCTGGAACACAGGTTGCTGATTCTTTATAATAATAAGAGAATGCTTGAATTCTAGTTCCCTTGCTATATAGATGACACTCTTTATTGGGTGTTCATTTAATGCAGAATGTATCATCAAGTGGATATTTAGGGATCAAGAATGAAGACCCATGTAGTTGAGGGGTAATGTAACTAATGTTGATCAGTATAACTGCTTGTATATCGTATCACACGATGATTTTAATGACAATCCGTTGAACTCCGATGAATCGCAATTCTAACAATATTAATGTTTTGGTTTTTTGGTGATATCCTCATATATAACCTATCATTTGATGTGACTTGTGTTTTCCCACTAGTTAGGCTTGGTCAGTAATAGTATAACTGATAATACAATAATTAGGTAAAAATGTGTATATTTTGTAAATGTTTATGTTCATGTTTCCATTCATGAAAATCAATAAAAACAGGCATTATATTTTGTTTACTATTGCATCGCTCTATAAATGCACTCCTTGGCAAATGATCACTGGAGGCATAATGAGCTACTATGTTTGGAAAGATCAAGAACTTTCCAGTTAAACCTGGCCTATGTATTTGGTTAAATCCATATCACACTAGTTTTGCGCAATATTTAGGATTCAACTTCATATTATTTGTGGTGATTTTTTTAAGTTAAATTTGTATTGTGTGTTCTATAGACTATGACTATAAGCTCTCCGCATTCTGTGTAACATGGTTAAAAACTATGATTTGATCTATTACATAAGTAAACTGTAATATCCTGCAAATTATTTAAATTTTCATTTCAAATCGAAAACTGAAAAATAGAATGAGCATTGCTGCTATACCAATAACATGCATTATTCGAAGAATTGCCAAGAAATTTATTCATTTATTATTATTTTATTCTAATATGTTCGTTCAAAATAATTTCAGTGATCCCCATTTTGAAATAGGTAACTGTAGTGTCAATTGTCTGTTTATAGCTAGCTGCTCAACCTTATTCTCTGATTCCAAATTTCGAAGATTTATTTACAGTTTATTCCACTGCTTCTGTTTCTTTATGTAATTTATATGACAAATATGTGTCAGGTGTTTCTTTTGTAAATGTACGTGCCACAGCATAGTGTTCGTTTTCTTACCACTATTGTTTGAACTGTTTTGTTTGAACTTATTGGGACTTTTATAACTGACGCATAAAAGCTTTATATTGAAAATTATTGGCAAACATTGGTGTGGAAATTGCTTTTACAGATTACAATAATCAAGTATAATGTAGGTGTTGATTTATGATTATTATGCGGTACATCACATACGTCACAAGGTCAAGTATATCAGTGATTCAATGACAGGATGACTTCAAATAATCAGCGGATTACAATGACATGAACGAAATGCAAAACGGAAATGCCTCATCTCGAAGTAGCAATCAACCAAAATTGAAACTTAATTTGATCAATGGAACACAAAACGTTGGCTTGCGTACCAAGGTTTCTGTATCACCTTTGCCGCAAAGAGCTGACAAGTTGCTTAAAGATGGGACTGACAAAGTTATAAACAAACAGTCTCAACTGCAGAAATTTAAAAAAGTCAGTTTTTCTGACGATGAATCAAACAAACCGATACGGCGACTGTTATTGGTGTCTAACAAATGTAAATATGGTGCTTTGTTGGAAAAAGCTATCAAACCACATGTTGTTGCCATTTTGTACAATTATGAAAACACTACTTTTGATTCGTTGTTGGCACTTGTGTCTATGGCATTGGAAGGTGATGAAAAAGTGTCATCTGTTGGATGTGTCATGTCATGCAAACATTCAGGAATTTTTATTCTGAACTGTCATGATCATGCAGGGTTGTTAAATTCAACCTCGGAAATTAATAAAAATTCCAGAATTGGCAAATTTTTTAAACTTCTTTTTGACACCTTTGTGGATAAAGGCCATGGTGAACGACGGCTTGACTTATTTGGTGCTGCAGTTGTAAATCAACTGGATAAAAATTTACGGGCTATTGAGGATATTACTGGTTCTACCATTAACATTTCTAAAGAGCCACTGGGAATCGGAAATGGATCTGTGTCCCTGGATGGTACAGACAGTATGGGTGAAATGTATTTCACACCAGATAAGATAAGAAACTGGCTGAATGGAACTTACCAAACAATTGACTTGTTTGAAAAAATCAGAATGGTAGGAAAAGGAGCCTTTGGGACTGCAGTATTATATCGTAAGAAAGATGACAATTCATTGGTTATTTTAAAAGAAATTAATATGTCAGAATTGAACAGTCAAGAGCGTCAACTTGCCATGAATGAAACAAAAGTTCTGAAATTATTGAATCACCCTAATATTATATGTTGTTATGATAGTTTTGAGGAAAACGGAGTCCTGATGATTGAAATGGAGTATGCTGATGATGGAACTCTAGCTCAACTTTTGGCTAAGCAAGAAAGCCCACTTCTAGAAATTGAAGTTTTGCAAATGTTTTGTCAAATAGTATCGGGTATTCGATATATGCATGAACAAAAAGTTCTTCATAGGGATTTAAAAACTGCAAATATATTTTTGACCAAAGACTGTTGTGTTAAGATCGGAGATTTTGGTGTTTCTAAAATCATGAGTTCCCATAATAGGGGTGCAAACACTGTGCTTGGTACACCTTATTACATCTCTCCTGAAATATGTGAGGGAAAGCCTTATGATGAAAAATCAGACATTTGGGCTCTTGGCTGTATTTTACATGAGATGGCCACTTGTCAAAAAACTTTTGAAGGAACCAATCTTCCAGCTTTGGTAAATAAGATAATGCGTGGTCATATTGCACCTATACAAGGGAATTTTAGTTCAGAATTCAAGCAACTTGTTAATGATATGTTACATCGTGAACCAGGGGAACGCCCAACGGCACATATACTTGATGTGGTCCGTTTACCTGATATCATGGACAATTTTGGGAGTGAAGGTAGTGAACGAAGTTTCTCTAGCAGTAGATCTCAAACAAAGGGATCTCGGGATATTTCGTCAGCCACACATCGGGAAACACGGTCCGTCCTTTATATGTATGATACTTCAGCAATGAGTATTTTACCCATGGAAGGTTTTCCAACAAAAATTAAAATTCGTGAAGTTGCAATTGGTGAGAATCATTTTATTGCTGTTGCTGTAGAACTCACTGTGTATACTTGGGGTCAAGGAGATCATGGACAACTTGGTCACGGTTCTCTAGAATTTTGTCCAAAGCCGCAGGTTGTTGAAGCTCTCAAAGGTAAATCTGTTACTTCAGCATGTGCTGGGGCATCATTCAGTATATTTGTATCAGACAATGGAATTGTTATGACGTGTGGTGATGGGCGACATGGTTGTTTGGGTCATGGTAGTTACGTTTCTTCACAACGTCCCAGGTTGATTGAGTCACTGCTAAGTGTTGATGTGTCTTCAGTTGCCTGTGGCTTACACCATGTTGTTGCTTTGGGAAGTGAGGGCAAAGTTTTTGCATGGGGGGATGGTAAAGATGGATGTCTTGGTATTGGGGACACCAATATTCTTGAGGAACCAACTGAGGTACCAATCCAAGAAGGGGTTGCAATTAGGGATATAAGGTGTGGTCCTGATGGTACAATGTTTATAACTGAAGTTGGTACATTATTGGCATGTGGTAACAATAAATTTAATAAGCTTGGACTGAATGAGAGGAGAGGTTTTCTCACAGTTTTATCTAACAAGTTGAAACTGGAAGTTGAATTTAAGAAAACCCCAACTCCAGTCAAAGCCATCAAAGGTGTGATTGATGTCTCGATGGGTAAAAACCACACTGCCATTTTAACAGAAGTTGGTGATTTATTTATGCTTGGAAGTAATAAACATTCTCAGCTTGGTACTGGAGACAATAAAGTACGCAGCACACCTTTTGTTTTAAAGTCACTGCGAGAGTATGAAGTGGCAACAGTCATTTGTGGAGATAAGTATACTGCCGTTGGCACATCAGACGGAACAGTATGGTTATGGGGTACTCGTTTCAAACAGGCATCTGTATCTGACGAAGTGCCGCAGACCCCAACAGCAATTGAAGCCCCAGAAGTTGATGGAAAAGATTTTTCAAACTCTTACAGTGGGAGTCACAATTTATTCGTCAAGCCAACCCATCGTCGCACTTTTAGTGGTACCAGCACTGTCAGCTATCGGAGTACACTTAGTCTGAATCAAGAAAATGGTTCAACATCCGAAGGCCCTAGTAGAGCATCCAGCTATCAGGATGTAACTGCTGCTTTGGGTGACAAAGCTATCAACTCCCGAACTACTACTGATTTCGACTTGGAAAGCAATCGTTCAACACCTACAAATACAGCAACTTCCCCTCTTGATATGAGGATGCCGGAAATCATGTCTTCACCTTATCCTATCTTAAATATTCAAGGTTCTCCAGAGTCTGCAGACACAGCTGCTTCAACCCCTGACAGCACAACAGTAAAAGGTGATCTCGCCAAATCACTTTCTGGGGAAAAATCTCCAAGTTTTCAATCATACACAGCGTTTTTAGACACTTTGATTTCATGTGCTGAAAATTTCTATATGCTAGTAGAGACTAATGCACCAGTCACATCATTGAAAGATACGACTGGACAAACCGACAACAAGAAAGGACAACTAAAGACACAAATAAGTTGCTTAAATTTACCTGTCCCAACTCGACGGCATGGAAGGAGTTCTGTAAGCAGCAATGAAGTTGGCGATGAGTATACCAGCTCCGAAACTTCAGAGCTAGACTCTTTTGGAACAGCACCAACTTGGATTCGAGAAGAGTTGAAAATTACATTAAAAGCTGTTGCTACTGATGCATCATCCACAAAAAAACAATCATTGAAAGACAGTGAAAAAGTTCAAAAAATTCCTGCACTCACTACAAAACAGAGGAAAACTAGCCCGAGTCCTTCACGTAGTAAAGCAACCGGGAAAAACAAAGTTGTTGACTGCTCGAGTTCTGGTTCAAGTAACCAGTCTACAGTGAAACAATCTCGCAACTTATTGTCCGTTGATACCAGTTCAAGTAAAACTAATGCAAAAGGTACAAGAAAGTCAAGGTCACCTTCACCTTACACTCGTCGCTCACCACAATCCAGCTTTAATCGTTTGCGTGGAGGACAAGGAAGGTCTAGAATGAACCAATGGGATCAACCGAAACCTAGCAGATCACCTGTCCGTGGTAACAATATGCAAGAACTTCGTGCCAAATTGGTACAGATTCAAAATGAAAAGCGTGATACAGAGAAAAAATTGAAAGAAGTTCAAGAACGAAATGAAAACATGTTGAGAGATCTTCAAGTCAAACATGAAAAAGAGAAATTAGAACAGGAGCGATGGCTTCATGATCAAATTTCATCATTGAAAAGGCAACTGGGTGATCAACAGAGAGAAATAAATGAAAGAGATCCCTCAAAAAATGGTGGAAAACTAGTTAAACATGGGTCCAAGTCTGATTCTGTAAAAAGTAGCAAAATATGCAATATTCAATAAGATTCATACCGATCATGGTTGAAAATTTTGCAGTAGCTAATAATGAATCAAACCTTGTATCACCAATATAGCCATAGATTTAAGAAGTGTCATCAATTATATCCCAAACCTAGTCAGGTTTGCAACAAATTTGATTTCAACCCCTGTGATCTAAAATTTATATATGGAAATCTATCCACAATTGCAGGACCCTGTTAAATAAATGTAGAATGGGAGCAATCTTGCATAGTATCTTTTCAATAATTTAACATATGTCACATATCATTTGCAGGCAAATGCTGCAGAAATAGAGCTCAGCAACCTATTTTGCAATGTTTCAGCGAACTTTTCTACCAATCTTCAAACTTATTAAATTTATATTTGATTACTTGCACCCACATTACGGTACTGATGAGAATATCCCCATACTTTGCTTTATACTTGCACTTATAATCAGTTTCAAATATCCTTTCTATCAGTGCAGAATTTCTCAGGCACTAAAATTTTAGCATTTATTGATTGTAGGTTTTTCTTATTTTACTTTAAATTTTGCGTTCTATCTATCTTTTAATATATGCGTTAGTCAATGATACTGTACTGCCTTTTTGTTTCATATATAACTCGATATGGTACATTGTTTTTCTTGTTAACATTACACTCGACATGCCCCATACAGCCTTTAACTGGGTAACTTGTTATACACTGTTGAAACGGAAACAATTCTTCCAAAATAAGTCTTATGCATTTCAGATTTGTACAAAATGATTTGATAAACCACAAGTCACTTTTTTACGTTTACACAGGTAAAAATGTGGAAGCTGTGTCAGAACAATTTTAAATTCTTGACCAAAATTGTCGATTTTGAAATGCATCTCGACATGCCCCATACAGCCTTTAACTGGGTAACTTGTTATACACTGTTGAAACGGAAACAATTCTTCCAAAATAAGTCTAATGCATTTCAGATTTGTACAAAATGATTTGATAAACCACAAGTCACTTTTTTACGTTTACACAGGTAAAAATGAGGAAGCTGTGTCAGAAAATTTTAGATTCTTGACCAAAATTGTTGATTTTGAAATGCATCACCATTATAAAATTCACATCGTTCATGTACTTTGAATTCTAATGTTTATATATGCTTATAAGGATCATTTGCTTTCTTGTATGTCAAAAATCACATCCATGAGGTGTTGTCTGTTAGTTGAAAAGAAATTAGCATTGATAAGGTTTGCATACTTTCTTTGGGATAGAATGGTATTTTTATAAGCTTGTTTCTTATTAATATTTGTTCATTTTAAACTACCAGTACTGATTCTTCGATCTAATACTTTGCCAGTGCCTTTTACTAAAATACTGTACCCATATTGGTCACAGTGAACTGTGCGAATTTGCACTGTGGCTATAGAGGAAAGTTCTGTTAACCATGGTAGAAAGTACCTGACTAGATGCAGATCTTGACTATGTCTATGTTTGGCATGAGTACTTTCATCAGAATATTAGGAGCGTATTGTTGTTCCAAAATGTATATGCTTTTGTAATTTTCCGTTCTGTTCCATATTCATATAAAGCTACTGATTTTCATACTTAATACTTTACCTGCGCCTTTTATTTGAAATGTTTGACAAAATTTTAGTCTTTACTTTATACCAAATTATTGCTCTCACCAGAATCTCTATTCCGCCGAAAAACTAACTGAAATTTCAAGGAATAGTAAGCATGCACGTCATGAATATCTGCAATGTTGATGAAATATTGCTTGATTATGTTCTTAGATTGCCAACTTGTACTTTCTTCAATTAGAAATGAAATTCACTGTACTCTTTATAACAAAAGTGCCTATTTTGGACACCATGGATATTTATTCATTATCCCTAATTCAATTCAGGAACAAATTGTTTGTGCATGATTCATATTTTAGTTTATTTTCTAATCAAAATTGACCCTATGTACATTTCCGATGATTTTTTCCACACCTGGTCGATTTTTTAAAATTCCATCAATCGTCAATCAGGCAATCTGCACGCCTGCTGTTTTTACTCTTATCATTTATTCGCAGGCAACGGCTTTTCAATGTTTTCAACTTAAAATTGTTAACGTTGTTCATTGCCCTGTTGTTGTTTTGTTCAGCACTTAGTTGTTATTCTGTATTCTGATTTCTTCAATGTTTAGATAAATAAAATATGCACTTTTCCTTACTGATATCCGGTTTATTGTACTCTCTCCTACAACATGTTGTTGGTTAATTACTTATCGATCTTAAGATCGGTAAGTATGTTGATAGGTATTTGTCTGTTTGTTTGTCTGTTAGATGAACGCGATATCTCACGAAGGCGAGGTTGAATCTGCTCCAAATTTTGCATGTGCATTCATCATATCTCGGACCAGACCTATTGATTTTGGATGAATTATGTCGTATAATTAGCTTTTTATTTTATAATTAGTGATGGGAAACGCGGTGTCACTATAGAGTCATGAATCGAAACCGCAGTTTCGACCGATATTCTCGTTTTAAGTTTGGGATTGGCAAAATAAGGTGTCACAGACTCAGTGTTGAAGACCTCCATGAACCCGTAAATTTCCTTTTTCTAAACGTGGTATAACCTCTTACCGGTTTCAGTACTGTTCAGAACGGGAGGTGCACCAATCAAAATCATTCACGATGGGCTTTCGTAGTGTAACGTGGCCTTCTCATTATCAATACTGTACCCCAGGGGTCAGCAACCTTTCGTCACTCGCGGGCTAAAATTAAATGTTGCAAGTCATTGGCGGGTCGCTCATATTTATAGAAAGTTAAAAACCGAACGGATGGCCGATAAATCACATTTTTTCACACAGGCCAGAAGTTAAATTTTAAGCAGCGCGCGAAGATTGAACATTTTCTGCGCCATTAAACCATTTGCACTTACCATTAACTTATCTGCGTTTTGTATCCATTTGTCTAATTATAATTAAATTATACGCAAATTAAACGTGTAATTGTGAAAAATATAGCCTACTTGTTAGGTTATAATATAAATTAGTCTATACACGTGCCTCACAATAAATTCTGTTATGTATAGACTATAATCGTCAAAACAGCTCTTGTTACTATAATTCAGCGAAGCGTCGCGGGTCAGATTATATTGCTCCGCGGGCCGTAGGTTGCCGACCCCGCTGTACCCCAACAAGAACTACGGTGGAACATAAGAGTAGCAAAATGGTAACAGCATGTGGAATAATGGTGTTTCAAATTCAAAAAGTGTTGCTATATTACCAAAGTCAATACAAGTTTTTCATTTTATAATATATATCTTATTTGATAAGCATGGAAGAGTTCTCACTTCAGATATAAATATTCATGTAGAAACGATTCATTTAGTGAACATATATGCTCCCTGTTGCACAAACATTATAATACAAGAAAATTTTCATAATAGCATCTAGAGATTCATATATTCTCAACATACAGTAATTTTAGGTGGTGATATGAACTGTGTACACGATATAGACGAAGATCGAACAATAAGCAAAAAATAGCTAAAAAATAATATGTTTTCGATGCTTCGAATGAGCTTATCAATACTTTTGATTTAGTTGATTCTGTGAAAATTTTACTTAATAATAACTTCTTTTGCACATGGAGGAATAATACTGTGCAAGCAGGACTAGCTCGTCTTTACTGTTCCCATAGATTGTGTGATATACCCAATCTCTGTTGTTTTCCTACATATAACTATGATCATGAAATGTATTCCGTCGATGTCCAAGTTTTCAGTAACCTTGAAGAGAAAGGAATCGGATATTGGAAAAACAATGTCTCCGTTTATCATAACCAAAGCTACCTTGAAGAACTCAAAAATAAGTGGAATAGTTGGCGCTTATTAAAATTTTTATTTGTTACAAAAACTCAGTGGTCGAGCGAAATAAAGAGAAAGATTGAAGACTTCACTCAAACATTCTATTAAAACAGCAAAAAAGAAAGGTCAGATTATGATAAAGGAATGCAACAAATGGAAGAATTAAATGAAAGATTAGATACAAGTGAAAAAGTATTAACTGCATTCAACAAATTAAAAAGACAATTAATTTCAAAACAAAGACAAAAAGTTGAAGAAGTAAGAATTTTAAACTTGGCGCATCATTACGATACACATGAGAAATGTAATGAGTATTTCTTCAGAAAGTTGAAAAAAAGCACAAAGAATGTTATATTAACAAATTAAAACCCAAGGAAGAATTCAGAAAAAAATAACAGAGAAAATGTATATAGTCAAGAATTTTTATCAAGATTTATACAAAAAGCAACACACCAACATGGACACTTAAAATTATTTTATAGCAGCTATTCCAGATTCACTAAAATTGCAAGAAGATGATGCAGAAACCGTACAGAAACAGATTATTTTAAATGAAGTTCTGGAAACTATTAAATTTTTCAAAGAAGGCAAAACTCCAGGATGAGTGTTGAGTTTTACAAAAAATCCTGGTATATCATAAAACTTGATTTATTTGGGATATTGGAAGAAATACATGTAAACCAGTTATACAACTCTAATAAATAAAAAGAGAGAACTGGATAAAATTGAAAATTATATACCAATAGCATTTCTAAACACTGATTATAAAATCTTGACAAAGATGTTAGCAAATAGGTTGAAAATGGCACTTACTGATATTATAGACAGACGTCAAACTGCGATTCCGGGCAGACGAATCTCTGATTTACTCAACCTGTTGAGAGATATATGTATTCAAAAACGAAATAAAGCTGGAGAATCTCCATTGTTATCATTGGTTTTCAACAAAGCTTTTGGTAGTGTGGACCTGGATTATCTATTAAAGTACTTCAAAAATTTGGATTCAAAGACAAGTTCATAAATGTAATTCGGACTTTGTACACAGATTCGAAAACCAGACTGTTAATAATTGGCTACTTAAGTGAAGCTGTTAAACTCGAAAGAGGAGTTAGACAAGGAGATCCTTTAAAGTTTATTCATGTTTACTCTAGCAATTGAACCTCTGCCCAATAAAATTGATACCCATAAAAATATCAATGGAATAATGATTCCCCACAACAAAGAAATAAAACATATTAGTAACGCATATGACATCACATTGACTTTACGCAACACAAATTCTGTTTATACGGCAATGGATTTGATAAAAAGATTTCAAATAGCAACTGGGATGTCGTGAAACATTGGCAAAAGCAAACTTTTAATATATATTAGGAATATGGTATAACCTGGGGTTACCCTATTTTTGTGACTTCAGAGCGGGACGCCAAAGACAAACGATCCCTTGCCTGTGATTTTGACTTTACATTTTTCGATTTTATTACATATAGGCCTACATTTAAAGCCATCCCAGCTGTCTTCGTTGATCATATTGTCATCGAGAGTTCATGCGCATATTCTCTGTCCAAATATCGGGTTTAGTTCGAAAAATGAAAAGGACTTGCCGTTAACGATACAAATATTTAGATTTTTTTTCATGTACAGCAAAAGAAAGAAAGAATAATGAAATAGTCTGTGGTTTTGAAGCATTTAGAATTTACTTATTCACCCGACAAGCATGTTTTTTTGTAGATAAAACCTTCTTCAAAAAGACGTTGTTCAAGGTTACATTCCGTAAATAAACGTCAGAACAGGACTAATTAGTATTGATTTTACGGCGCTTCCGAGAAGTATGTGCACCAAGTTGGCGCACAACCTGATCCCTAACCTGCCACACATACTATGTTCAGGTTGTGCGCCATATTCGTGCACATACTTCGTTAGTACCGATTTTACACGTGATACGTTCGCTAACAGGGTTAGCGGGTAGCAACGAAACAAACAAAATAATGCATTCAGTTAGTAGGCTACTACACAGCAGTGTGTTACGCTTAATGGCTGAACGCCAAAGCGGGACTTTTGGCTGTCTTTTCGGGACGGCGGGACAAGACGCTAAAAAGCGGGACGTATGGTAAGCCTAGTAAAAACCCAACTTTTTTGCAAAGATATCTATTGTAAAAACTTTGAATATACTCGGAGAAATATTTTCAAATTCGCACATATGTTACGAAAACTGGCAACAATACTTGAATAACGCCAGAATTACATTACCTGAACTGCTGAATATTCCCTTATCCAAATGTTTATTGATAAAACTAAAAATGTTACCTTTGTTTTTATTCTGTGCAAAACTGTATCCCATTCCATTTGATATTGCAAATCAGATAAATAGAAAAGTTTGTTTTTGATGGAAAGTGTATTTTGAAAATCAAAACACGGTACAAAAACACGGCATTTGGAGGTTATGATATAATTATTATACCTTTGTTTACCATGTGTTTGTATATAATGACTGCTTTTGACTATTATTGTGATAAAATTAATGTTACTACTAAGCAATATAGACCATCAGTTTTGAATTTTATAGATTATAGAATATAATATTGGTCAGCAACTTTGTTTATTCTTTAATTTACCTATAAATAATAGTGTAAACTGAAGCATTTTTTCTTCATAAATATTATGGAGCTTTGAATAATTTTTTAAGACAACATCACTGGGAATGATTTAAAACAAGGGAAACATAGGCTACTTTATCATAAAATTGTATGAATTAACAAGTGTACGGTATTTCAGATAACAAATCTGGCACCGTGGAGAGTCACGAACCGTCATCCCTGCCGGTAACGAGTTGCCTTTTCCGCTTACGTTGTTATATTAAGTGGTGTACGATTTCTATCCCCCAAACTTTTTTCTGTTGGATATACAACATTAAATATCGGACATTCTGTGAAGCTTATTTAACCCCTGAAACAGCTCCTGATATTTTCGATTCTTATTGTTATTTCTTTAAATTCTTTATTTTTGGGATATACCGTAGATAAAAATCATCACGATAAAGTTCCAAACTGACTCTAAATTGTCATGGATTACTTCATTTCTCATCCCCCAAAAAAGAGACCATCATCAAAATCAATTTTTCAGGAGTCGTTGATCCAAACAGGATTTTCTTACAACTCAGAAGTTGAGATCTTGATTTGTTAACTGCTTTTGGTCTAGCTAATATCCCCACCACAGTATTGAAAATGAAAATGTATTCTCTTTTTCTTAAACTTCCTATCCAAAATATGTTTGTCTTTGAAGTTATTTCAAATGTGTTTTAGAGTTAGGAATGGAGGACTGTTACTCAAAATTCACTTGATATATCTTGTCAAATATCCGGCACCATAATTTATTTTCTTCCGGTTGAAAAACAGCATCGTTCTCGATGCTACAAACAGGCTATTATTCCCGGGATTTTCTTCATATTTTAGTAATCTTTCGGTTAAGCATTTTCAAAGAAAAGCTGGGCATGGTATCTTTTACTGTCCAATACTGAAATTTCAAGTCTTTCTAGGTCATTTTTATATATTGAGATCTGGTTCCGTTTTCATTCACCACCAGTGTTTCTACATTCAAATAATAGAAAGGCTAATGATAATGAAAATCAGCGGGTATCATAAACTTGTACTGTAAGATGGTATTTATGACGTCATTAATAATGCTGTACTTGTCACCTTCGACCTTGCTTGCTTACGGTCTCTCTTACTTGTACTGCCTTCTGGTAAGTGCTGTGATCTTTGATGTCTATGTTATATCTATAATATACTAAGCACCCTGAACAGTTGTGTGTTTACCCACAAACAAACATCTACCGACCAATTAAAGTAGATCTAAAACAATTTAGGCGGATTTTTGCTTGATTCACAGGTTGCATCAGCAACTTATGTAATGCCACCTGGATAAAATATCGTGGGGTTTGAGTGCGGTTCATGAAATGTGTGTCCCGGACTGATTATACAGAATTGTCATATATTTTTCTACGCTATGTCATAGGAAATATTTATTTATTGCCATATGCAGATTAAATTAATTAAAAGAAAGTAAGCATTTTTCTTCAAATAGTTTTTCCGATGGTTTATGCCACCCAGATTATATGAATGCATGCCATGCGAATTTTACACTTTTTCTGCAACAGCTTGACGAGAGTTTAGGTAAAACACGGGCAGGAAGTCTGCACAATAACAATTTATTATTTCCTATAAAATAAAATCAGACTGAATTTTGAATGAATAAAGATACCAAAATATGGTGTGTTCTCAACAAAGTGTCGCATGCTGTTATTAGTCATTTTAACTGGGTGGCATTGGTGTGTCAGTTTTCTCATTTTCCTTCTAATCTCATTTTCTGTTCATTGCTCCACAACTGTCTACTATATTTGTCATCCGCACCCGCAAGTGCAAGATAGTTTTCAAGGTCGAGGGCGTTCATACGGCCAAAGATTCTTTTTGCAGTCAGGTCGTCGGCTACCGGCTTCGTTGTTAATTCTCCTACTTCTGGTCTTTCTTCGTCACCAGTGTCAATTTGTGATAGATAATTAGACATGTTAGATTCTTCGGGCAGCACAAATTTACCTCTTTTCATAAAATATGGCATACCCACAGTTCTTTTCATGAAGTATGGTGCAACCACTCGACCGTCTTCTCCCCTCTTCATGAAATAAGGTATCGTAACTCCCCTTTTCATGAAGTAAGGGATTGCTACACCTCTTTTCATGAAATACGGTGTACTGATTCCTCGCTTCGTAGAAGGCGGCAAGATACTTCTCATGAAATACGGAGTGACAACTCGGCTTTTCTGGTCTAAATCTATAACCAACCCGTCTTGACTGCCCTTTCCTGCATTGTTTTGTTGGCTTAGTAGTCGTTCAAGCTGTAACACATAAACAAACACATTATACAAAAAAAAATGTTCAAAAGTCGTAGGAAAATCATGATGTAATGTTGCAAACTGTCGCGTGAATGGATTGACGTAAACGAGCGCTTTTATCGATCTTGAACGCAGCGTGTTAAATATGATATTAAGTACCTCACGCAACTTTCCTATACCCATTGAATATAGCAAAATGCTATTCTCCCACCTACGGCGTCATTTCGATGTCCAAAATTTATTGACATGGTCTTTATTTTTCGTTATTGGCAAACATATTTGTATCGCTGGACCAGTCATTGTCTCTAATTGAAACTTTTGCCCGAATAAATCGCTACTCTGACCTTGCTTCAGTCTAACATTCTTATTATAAAAAATCTGGCGTGTCTAACCCGAAGTCCAGAATTTGGTCCGATCTACAAATAAACAATTCATTCATTATTCAGAGCCCAGTTAAAATTATGTTACCACGGTAAATGTCGCATGGTAAAATTAAATTTAAGCTATCGAGTAATTTTCGATCAATAGCCGAAATAAACTCAATATTATGTGTAATGCTGGGAACTGAATGTTGTTTTTGGCGTAACTTAGTTCTAGAACCTTTCAAATGAAATATTGCTATTGCTTTTCACAATTATTAACGTATTTATAGGTGTAGTCTAATTTTTTTGACAACAAAATGAATACAATTAACTGGAAAATTGTAATCATGATCAATTTTGTATTATCATATCTTTTGCTTGCGATCAAGTTTCATTTCATGACCGATTGCACACTTGAACGCTGGATGGCAAAGGAGAGGTCGGTCTAAAACAACATTTGCCATAAAAGACTTAGCGATTGATTTGAACATCAAACGCTTCGACAAAAATATATATATAACCGTTGATATTTCTGCCGTGTTTAAAATCAATACGCTATTCAAACAATTCTTTCATTAAATAAAATTAATAAGGAAAATAAATATTTTAATTTAGTTCAATGCGTTATTTTCTTCATGTTTATATTCGTAGGGCAAGTCACTTTTCCAATCTGGACTGAGATCATAACAACAAGTAAACACGACATGTCAATAGTAGGAAATCAACTATGGAGACAGAATTGAATAAATTCTGGATGGGGATCTTAAATTGCAATAGTAATAGGATTCGGTCAACGAAATTCAAGAACAAAGGCACTCGCCCAGCAGTGATAAAATATTATTTTTTTATTTTTTACAAAAAGCAACATTGAGCACATGGAAACCTCATCTGGAAAATACAAAAATCAAGATATATTTCGCTCGTTTTGGAATATGAAGCAATGGGAACCGCGAAAACAACATTGCTTTTCCAACAGTTTCAACGATTTGCCGAGGGTGTGTTAATAATAAACCGCGCGTGAAGACCGCGACAGGTTACGTAAAATCCCCCAAACTTTATCTAAATGGTATGGTATTGATTTTTAATTTTATGCTTTGTTTTGCAAATGCTGCGGTTAAAGTTCATCAGCAGGCGACGACACAATTGACAAACATTAATCTTCTTTGTGCGTATTCGTTTTCGCCAATACAATTGTATTATAAACAAGTTCTAGCGGAGGAATCAAAACATTTTATTCCTTCATATACTCTGAGACAAAGGGCTTTTCTTGTACTGGAAGAGAAATGATAGTATAATAACACAACACATAGTGTATTATCATAATAAATATTTTTAAAAACATAGTCCTAGAGCGTGTTTTCTGAATCTGTGAAAATCCACCATGTTTGCAAATGAAGTGTAGACAAACCTATTTGACGCTCACATATAGAACACATATATATATCTATTAAGGTTATTACATCAATTATTGCGTATGATTGTTGTTCGTCGTTTATTTGTATAAAATATTGAAATCCCTCTATCTTAACAAAATCAACACTATTGTGAAACTAGAATTTGAAATTGAATATCTATTAAGGTTATTACATCAATTATTGCGTATGATTGTTGTTTTGATTTGATTTGATTTGAAATTGAATATCTATTAAGGTTATTACATCAATTATTGCGTATGATTGTTGTTCGTCGTTTATTTGTATAAAATATTAAAATCCCTCTATCTTAACAAAATCAACACTATTGTGAAACTAGAATTTGCAAATATTTTTTAAGCCATTGGCAGAAAAGCTGAGATCTACTTGAAAAAAAGATTCGAAAAATGCACTTCGATTGAACTTGAATAAATTTGCAAATATCGACTATGCACAAAACGTTTCGGGTAAAGCGAGCAAACCCTGACGACAGGACTGTGTCCATAACAAAGTAGTTATGAAACTCGTGGAATTACTTATGTATTTTGATGTTATACCACATCTTTCATATGGAGATATCCGATAGTCTAATTGATTTAGCTTTTATAATCGATCGATAATCTAATCATTCTAATGATATGATATCGACCACCATCGTGTACAATATCATGTAAAAATTTAAATTTTACTAACCTCATTCAAAAGTTGTTTTTCCTCCGACGATAAAATTGTTGCCATTTTATAAACAGACATATGTTTGCCATTTCCATCATCATTCATATCAACAGGCGTCAGATTTTGTGTATTATCAGCGTCATCCCATGGATCTGATTGGTCAATGGGTGCGCTCCAAATCAGTGGAAGAATTACAAGAAATATTTGCCCAATGTAAATGATTTTTCTAGGTGAACTTGTCCTGTAATTGAGTTTAATTTCAAATATTTTGCTTATATACATAAATTTCATTTTATTATTATTTGTGCTTGATGATAAAATTCTTTCAATTGCACTGCCCTGTACTAAAAAGGTTGTTCGTTTCTTTTTCAAATCAGTAATTTTATAATATTGAAGTGAGCAATGTGATACACAAACCAATTCTGATGCCATCTCCGGATGATTTTGCGACGTAATAGTTCGTATATTTTCGTTACAGAGTAAATAAAATTACCGATAAGAACATTTAGGGTTCGAATAGCTATTATTTGCCATATAATATTCCAAATCATACATTACAAGTGCAAAAATTTTCTTACCTCGCATTCAAAGGCATCTTCTTGATCTGACAACGGAAGCTCACCATTAGTTATACAACCGTAAGGAACAACAATTGTACGTTTATATCATTTATATTTAGAGAATATTATTTTATCTAAATTTTGCTTCTAAACAATTAAGATTTTTAATATTTTTTCACTAAGTTTAATTATTTAAAAAACATGCTATGCTCCAACTATTGCTAATTTCCTTTTTTTTTTTATCTGAAAATTGAATGGTATACTGTGTGGAGTTTACTATACTCCACCTAAAACAGGCCCTTACCCATGGGATGCTAATCCTCATCAACAGCGTGGGATTATGTTACTACAAGAATGATGTTTTAGAACGATTTGAAAACTGTTTGCTTACTTTGTCCGGACTTGAGTCCTTCCGAGGACGAAAAGCGGGGCGATATACAACTCTAGAATCTAGTTGATTCTATCTTCCACGCCTTATACTCTGGAATTTGAATATACCTCGGCTATATAAGTGCCGCAATCCCTGAACATTTTTTCTCGCCTCGCTCACGTCAAAATAAAACCGGAACACATTGTTGGTTTCTGTAAAAAACGTCCCAAGAGGATACATACGCTCAGTGTGCCCTTTGCGTACCAAATAACCAACAGCCGCTTCTGTCGTTCAATCTCACAAAAATCGAATTATTCTGATCTTTCGTCAATATACATGACAATCTAAGTAGCGGGATTAGTATTTTGAAGTCGCAACAAATTTTGACGTCGATCATGTTTTTGCGTTTTATGTATGATCGATTTTAGAAGTATATAGTGTCAAGGTTATCTTGTTTAAATCAATGGTATATGTAGTTGGTATAAAGCGGATCATACTAATGTTGTCTCCATTACGAACCATGGTCACATTCACAAGATCTATCCATTTGACAGACACTCGTAGGCGTGAAATTAAGACTTCTGGTTATAAATTTTTAATTATCATCCAACATTATTAAAATGTGATGAATTCATATGAAACCCATTCGCTCTCATAATTACCCTATTCTATATAATATATCATTCAAGCGATCTGATAACGACAGAAAACGTGTTCTCGATGGAAGACACCAGATATTTGTATATATGTGTTATTGAAAACCTGATGATATCATCATTATTGTTCATGCCGATCACGAATAGCATATTTCGTTGCTGTAGATTTATACTTCATATGTTTTAGGTAACTACAATTTTTCTTAATAAACGTTTTGCCTAATTTTCTCTTCCTGTGCCAGTGGTAGCGTCTTTTTCTATTAGCGCCATTTTTTAGAAATAATATAAGCAAGAAGATAACATTTATTTATCACATTCACTTTATTATATCATGATGCATAATTTATTATATTACGATGCATATTTTTCGAAAGCAAAATTACTCTATACTTTTCTTGGGGCATATTGAAAAAAATAATAAAATTTTGCCAACCAAAACAGAAAATTTTTACTCGAAATGTGAATCAAGTTCATATTCTGGGACAAACGAATCCGAGAGTTAATTCAATTGAAGAAGGATGTAATTACAAATGTTAATTCAATCAATTAGATACGATTAATTATTTTCGATTTTTATGCTCATTTGATTTGCAAATATAATAATTCGGAATATTGAAGCGAAGAGATTAATTTAATCTTATACAAGGGTTTCAATCTACTGTGTACTAGTGTTCGATTATTCTGAAAGTTCATACCTATGACACCGATGGTCATTCTTATAGTGATGCTGACATATATGAAGTAAAGCATTTCAATACGCTCAAACTACTAAAGCCACGTTTTATGTCATAGATTTTTACCCTGGCCCGGGGTGTTCGTATTTAATTTATTATTTATACCTGCGAATTTCTCTCACTATAAATATTTGGATACTAGTATTTTAATCATCCCTGCTTCCTCCGCAATTCTGATTCCTCCAACATTTCTATATATTAAGACATCTATCTTATTCTGACGTAACTTGAAATAACATTGGTTGAATCTTGTCCTAAAAACATGGTATATAATAGCCCCATTGCTTTACTTTAAAAAATTTCAGAAAGTTTTATTTGCTTTTATTTGCAGTTATAATAAATGACCGTCGTATTTCATATTGTCATTACTCATTGAGGCGAGCTTTAATAACAATTGATACTGAAAAATGAACAATGCGTTTGTTTTTTGTTTATTAAGAAATTGTGTTACTGTATATTGCAAGTAAATTTGTGATATTATTTGAAGTGCATGCATAATTTAGAATATTAAGCTACCGAAACCAAGGTGTCATTTTCGTGCCTTGACGCTAATATGTGATTTATAGTAGGGACTTTTGAAGGTCAAATTTATGCCATTTGAAAAATGTCATTGAGAACAAGTAAAGTTGTTTTTATTGAACTATATTTGTTTTTATTGACTATTTTTTTTTTTCCGAATCGTCAGAATAATAAAATTTGCTGTTAGATAAAAATACTGATTAAAGCTCCTATTGCTGCAATATTATATACGTATCGGTATTTTTGCATCATTTCAATTAGTCGATTTTTTTTTCTACAAATTGTATATTACAGAAACGGGAATCAGTACGCAGACTAATACATAAACGGACACCATTTGAGTATTTGTTAAACAAGAAAAAAGTCTCAACACACTTTGGAGTAAATAAAAAACTTTATTTAGATTAAAGAGTCACGTACATAATTTAACACTGAGGTAATTTGCAAATATTGCACAATTACAAATATTTTTATTGCACTTTTTATTGCACTAAAATAAGTATTAAAATAAAAGCAACTCAACAAATATACGGAAAAACCCCATAGCAGATTCTTACAGCACATGAAAACAATTAGATGAAATATTGAATATTGTGGCCAAAAATGACCGTTTGTAAATGCGTTCATACGTTTATATTTATCCAAGAGCAAATTGCCACTTTGATACCTCATTCCAGAGTTAAATGACGTGATTGTTTTTATCCAATTCTACGAGAAAAATAATATCCATGACATTAAGTGTACATTCAATTCAATAACATCATCCAATATACATAAGAAATTAACATAAAATATTTTAGGTTGAATAAATTCGAAATTACGATCACATTTGCCACCTGAGAATGACATAACAATACCGATGACGTCATATTTTCTAGACAAACAAGTTTTATATTTAAACACAATAAATCATTGTTGTAAATTGCCTGTCTGAAGATAGTATGTATAGGTTCACTGCACCCTAAACAACTAAAAAAATTAATCGTTGTCAATTTGATGATTTGCTTCACCATGTTTGTCAACCCAAATTCTAAACATCACCTTATGTATTCAATTCTAACAAAAGTTTTGATATATTTTACAACTGCAATTCAAAAAAGGGAAATTCATCACAGATACATTGAGTTATTGTTGAAACGATAACAAACGTAACAGGTTTCATTTTAGAAAATGTTTCGTCTGGTACATTTAAAAAGCGATTGCCGAACTCACTGACCGCGCCCGACATGAAGGATCGTCGATTGTTGATAACATAGTTTAGTAATCAGGCAGTTTACCTCTGCGCTCTTATTCTGAATTAGTGGGTATCTGATATGTTTGATTGTTCATTAGCTTGCTTTGCCAGCGTCAACAAAGTTCATCGAAAATATCAAAATCGTCAGGAGCTTCCAGATGCTTTTTTGGATGCTTTGCAGTTATTTTTTCCTGGTTTATGTTAGTTCCATGAAGTCTCCTGTAAGTCGCTTCATCTAGTTCTCCGCTATCAGAGTTTGTTGTTGTTGCATCGTGGCTTTTGACGAGTTCATTAGAGTTACCTTTTTCTTCTTCTATTGATTTGATATCTGACATGTCGTTAGTAACTTGAATGAATGATTCCTCGCCTAGAAATAAAGAGTAAACTTTTTAATAGTAATGAGGCATTCCTCTTTGAGTGTGGCACCTGATGATTAAGAAAAATGACATCGCTGGGACATTCCACAATGAAACTGAAACAACCCTTCCATTAATATATGACATTTTTAGATTACCTTTTATCTGAATCCGCATTTTCGTTAAATTTCAGACAAACAATCCGAATATAGTGTATTTAGGTGAGTGATATTGCCCATTGTGTATAATGGTCTGCTGCATTTTTTATTTCTTGAACACACACTTTAATGAAAAGTTCTTTGATTCTGTTACAAGCTAATTTAAAATGTATTTATAATAAATTTGCATTTTCGGGGGAATACTACTGATCTTGAATTTCAACATCAAATATATTATAATTAGGAATCCTCACACGTAAAAGTAAAACTACATTAGCCTACGCTAATGTGTTTGAGTGGAGTGTTTCGATATCGCATCTGAAAGAATCTCTTGAACGTAAGCTTGAAATAGGAAATGCGGAAAAATAAACAGAATACATTTTATGTAAGGGTAAAAACGAAATCAATTGGATAATTAAAAAAAAAAAAACAGTTTTAAAATTTGTTGGTATACATTACATACGTGATATTTGGCACCAACATATGCAAATCAAGTTATCGGTATGTATCTGCGTAGTGCGTATAATTGAAACATCCATAACGGATGCGATTTTCCATTTTCCGTTCATATATTTCAATCCATCAAAATCAAATCGAATCGATTGCGTCTCTCACTTAACATGAATGGGCACTTATATACTCAATATATTTTTATTCCTCTACTGCTATAACATCACTATGGGGAAATAAATAGCCATACCGTGTTTTATATATTATTAAAATGACATTTCCTTCAAACACAGTTTTCGTAGACAGTAAAAAGCCAAGAACGTACTGGATTCAGTGGATTGATGCCACCCGGTAATGCAATTGCAATTATCCATATCCGAATAGCTTCAAATTCAATAAGATTGTCTAAATACACCCAGGATATACCAAATGGTTGAAACATTAAATTGTTCTCGGGAGAAATCTTGCTTTGTATTTGCTGTATTACTAATATCTTTTTAGTTTTTACTATTACTGTATACTTATTTATGCACACATTAAAAACTACCGAAAGCGGGAGTGCGACGCTATCTAAGGGCCCATCCAAAATTGAATAAATAAAGTATTTTCACACATGTGGAGGAATGGAGAACTCTAAACTAGTCGAAGAAAGAGTTTAAAAAAAAAAATGGTTTTGAACAACTAGTTTGAAGGGTTTATTGGGTCTCTAGGAAGTACTGTGGTGTACCACAAAATAGGGTAGATACACTAACTCGCCCGTATTTCATGAAAAATTGGCAATATTTACAAATAAAGCATTTATTTACGAGGGAGTAAATAATTATATCGATAACTTTCTATTGTGTCGTCCTGGTACTCCCCAAGAATTGGTTCTATACTTTACGTAATATACTTTGGTAGTTTCAAACCCATTCAACATCGGAAAACATAAAATGGTTTGTTCTTACTCATCCCGCGACATAGTTGTTGTCACAATTGATTGACGAACGCCAAGTTGAACGTCCAACAATAAACAAATATTAAAATAATGTATCCGTTTAAAGTTAAACGATGAACATGCATTTCTTCTCAGTAATGTGAAAATTAAGACAGGGTTCCCAGGGAGACGATAAGACGACTCAATCATATGGCTAACCACTGCCCCTTGGCCTTGTCTTATTACCAGTCCATATCGGGTATGGTAATAGTTATATAGTTTCAGATGCATGAGCTTGATAGAGAAAAAGTCGTAAAGCTGGAATTTTTACAACGTTGACCGCTAGTAGAGAGTATCACTTTCTACTTTCATATATGAGTAGCGGTATGTTCGTGAATAAAAAATAGCAGATATTGTAACTTCATCAACCGCGAAAACTATTGAGTGACAATCGAAGTACATTAAAAATTAATATGTAACTAATCTTGAACACCTTTCGTGTGGTGTTCATAAATGTGTCTGCATAAAAATATTTTACACATTTACAAAAAATAACAGTAGCATAATTGTAATAATAGCAATAACCTTCTTTCAAATCATTAAGTAGTTTTGAGCCACATTCTTTTGCCTTGACATTCACTGAGATGGAACGTTGAATGCTTGGAGGTGGACGTTTCAATGCGGATCGAGTATGCTTTTTTCTGGTTATTTGCGGACTTGGATAAAATCCAAGAGATGTGTTTGCACGTTTCAGTTCGGAATCTAAACAAAGTAATACATTTTTCATCTATTTTTCAGACAAAAGTTGTACATTAATGACGCAATGGCCTTGTGGTTAACGAGTTGCAACTATGTTGCAATCACAATTCGAAGAATCATATTTTAAGGTCTAAATTGTGATGATAGTTTAAAACCCGTTTGGCGACGCAGTCCCCTACAATGATTGGTATCAGAAAAGCTTATAAATTCTGGTCATAACGAAACACCCGCAGTGGAAGTGACAGCTGCTGGTATAAATCCCTTATTATTTTTTTTTTGTATTTCTGTGAGTACGAAAATTGTCTCGGCCCGTCCATATCCTACGCTACCAGGTGTACTCGGCAACAAATGTTCTTAAACCACAAATACAGTCAAATATGATTTCCAGAATTCCTTAATACCGTTTGTAATTATGTTTCGTTTGCTTAACACCGCAACTGACTTTCCGCAATAGCGTGCGACCCAATATACTCGGAAATTAGCATGAAATTTAGCATGTAGGAACCCTAGTGTCGCATCGGTTTTGAAGCAGTTTGGGAGTCATAGTTCAAAGTCGATGCGACATTCATCAAATTAAAGTTGTCAGAGGAGATGTTTACGAATCTTCTTTTAGATATTGAGCATTATGGATAAGTTATTCGCAAACGGGGATATTGTGTATAGTTTTATTGAATACGTATAACACGCCGAAAATTTTTTGAGAAATGACTTATTTAGACTTATGTATTACAAAATACTTCGCAAATTACTTCGCCAATTTTACGAACCTATACTCATGATAAAGTCGTTTATATTGTGCCCCAATCTTTATCTGATTTAGAAAAAATGCCAAAAGAGAATAGATTACATTCAATCTGATAATTTGACCTGTTTATACCAGTAGGGGAAAATAGAGAACCCGACCGTGTAACATGTATTGCAAATATTGGCGCTGCAACCCAATGCCGCAAGGAAAACAATTTGTGATACCAGAAATTCGGGGGGATTAAGCGACGAAATGCTTAGTCTGGTAATGCAAAGATTGTTTGCTGAGATGAATACCTTAAAATTAACCTATGATTACCGAACGAAAAAAAAGATAACGTTAGAAATTGTTTTTTATTGATTCAAACTGTATTGAAGATAAGAACTATTTCGATAAATACGAGTGATTTGAAATATTGGGTTTGCTTGTTTAAGGGAACGCAAAGTTTTGAAAAATATCTGAAACTGGGTAACAGCCATATAAATTGTTAGGTAGATGCAAATGCCTTTTTATGTTATATTAAACCAGTTATTTGTGACCATTTGATATGGGTTGATGAGTTGATGTGCTAAACGGAGATTGGATTTAATGGCAATCTTCTTCGGTAGGCTGATACATAGATTATTAAAGGTTTCAACACACGCACACTAATTGAAATCATCATATGAGCGTCAAATAGTTTCGCAGAGCCATCGAGCATCGAACGACCGACACTACTATCGTTAATTAATAAGAGGTAAATTGACATTTCATGTTTCTAATTTCAAAACGATGTTTATCCATATTCAATTGCATTTTAAGTAAATTAAGCGCTAAATTACGTTCAGCGATAGAAGTACATTTGTAATTGATGTATAGGGGATATTGAATGTTTGCAATGCTGAGCCATTTTTCATAACCATGGTAAACACTACGTGCAAGGAATCCGTAAAATCAATTATGCATTATGTCGCAACAATCAATCTATAAAAGAAAGAGACACTCCATTGTGACGCATGAAAATATAATTTTCATCTGAGATTGAATTAATTTTCACGATCAATGGAGTATTACACATATAAAATATGCCAAACAATCCACAATAAAGTCATTACTGGGATAGCATCAACATTCTTTTTCAATCGCTATAAGTTTATGTTATAATATAAATCCAAAACACAATTTTTTTTTTATTTATGGAGTGAAGGAAATTTGTGGTTTTTCGTAGACAAAGTCGATTGACGGAAAATCCGTAATCATCTCGCACAAAGACAAGCCACAATAGAATTCGGTCGAATATAATGTGGTTATCGCAGACGGGAGAGGAAATAGACACTTAACATGTGACATCTTGTGACGTCGTAACGCCAATGCCATCAAAATTACGACACGTCACATGACGTGGGAGACTGTATTTATGAAGTTAAATTTTTAATATGAGCGATATGTGTATCATAACAAGTAAACTATTATATCAGCCGCCGCTAATGCACGTATAAAATTAATACCCATTTTATCTACATAGCACCAATACCAAAATCTGTTAAGCGTTGCATTCAAGTTTTGATCATATGGATTTCTTATGTATCGGGCTACAAAGTGCCCGTTGTCTATAAACTTTGCAACACATCGATTGCATGTAACTGTGAAAGTTAAATTTTCTTGATAATAATTGACACTCTAAGATTGTTAGGAAAATTGAGAAATATATTTACTTTTTTGTTTAGATGTTGGTGTACTTTCTACAACATCGTCTTCTGATTCACTTCCAGAAGAGAATAAAACATCATCTTCATCATCTATGCTAAATTCATCTAGTTCTGCTTCTAGTTGATCTATGTCATCTGTATTTATAACGATAAATGACAACATGAAATAAAACCATTTTATACACCTTATGCGAGAATACTACATCAGAGAAAAGAATTTTTTTGTACGAAAATCTCTTACGCGAACAAACCATTTGAATCGTTGTGCATTAATATACATGGGAATTATTGAGAAGTTCGATATTATAATGGATTTAACACTACAACTTCATATTCAGCATATTGTGGTCGAATTAGCAAAGTTATTTTTAGTTTTTAAAAAAAAGGGTCATGTTATTATTTTCCTGACCACACAGGTCTTTTTCATCTTTTTTCAATAGCATGTAAACCCATTACACAAGTATTTTCAGACTGTGACATTCAATACATTTCTCCCAAGATGATTAAATGGATTAAAATAAGATGTGCCCGCATTGCTATTTGCGGATACGTTCAATTTGCAAAATTTTATTTATTCTTCCGGACGTAAAGAAGTATATAATGATTCAATACTACCGCTCATGTACAAATTGCATTTTTCCGTTTGCTAAATACCAAATATATGCATTTTTAATGCTGTTATATTATATTCTATCTCATTTATTTTTTTTTTATACGATAAAATTCATTTTAGTCATCTTTATCAAATTTTCGACTAAACCTATGCTGGTGTTGAAGTGAATAAAAAAAAAAATTAAAAAAAAATGTTTTCACCGTAAGTTTTTCGTCCGACCAGGTCAAGCTCCATTGGATTGCTGAATAATTTATCTCCATGTTCATCTATTCCCATTTCAAGTGCATCAGCAGATTTATTCTGTCTTCTTTTTTCGTGGATTTCCGATGATATTTTTTCTAGACTATCAAGCGCAGTTCTATATCGTTTCTTGGCTGAGTCTACTTTACGTCCCAATTCGTCGACTTTTTGTCGCTTTTTCTGTTAAAATACCTATACAATTAAACAAAGTCCCGACCAACTTTAAATCTTTTCACTATCGTTTTATAACTAAGATTCGTGGCAGTTTTACAACGTGATACAAATGTTTGATCTAGCCAAATCTGGCATAGTATAGAGTAAGATTGATGAATTATGTATTCTGATTATTATCGTTTGTTGTCATGAACGCTTGGATGCACCAAACATCCGTGTGACTCACGCATTGTCGGAAGAGCTTGTTGTTTAGTATTAGCTTAATGTTTACATAATTATGTTCCAAAAGTGTAATCTGTAATACCCTACATTCAAAAATTTACCTGAATAAAAATTACGCAACGAAATTAAAAAAATTGAACTCATTTGCAGCAAACGTGATTGATTTATTTCCACAAGCATGAATAAATAGGTGGAAAATTTTACTTGCAAATCAACTTCAAGCAGTTCTTTCAACTCAAAGTAAGGTTTTGTTTTCTTTGTTGAATTTTTATGTTTTCTATGATGTGCTTGTAGCTTGCCGTCGAGGAATTGAAATCTTTTGGTCGCTCGTTGATGAAGACTTTCGCTTCGAGTTCTGAGATATATTTTAGGAAAAAGTTGGAGAATTTATGAATATCTGAAATATGAAATGTGTAACTGACTTGTACACGAATTTTTGGTTGTATTTTGTGTCGAATATTGACTGGGACAGTCAAATTATTACAAATTGAAACAGAAATAAATTGTCAATGATATAGATATTTTATCCGATATTTCACAAAATAGTTTGAATAAATGATTCATAAACAATAACTTCCAAATTATTATATTTATAATATATTTACCTGTCCCTCTCAGCATCCATAAATCTTATAGTTTGAAGATTTAACATTTCTTGCCAAGCCATATCGACTTTTTTATCGTCGAGTTCGCTCAAGCGACTTTCCGCTAAAGCGATTGTTTCTTTTGCTGCTCGATAAACTCCATTTGCTCGTTGAAAATTATGAACAGCTCTTTGAAGTGCTAACTGCGCCTATGTGACATATAAGAAAAAACGAATTTCCATATTTGCTACAATCAATTTCCGTGTTGCAAAAGTAATATCATGATTTTGTTTAAATTCAGAATTTTAAAAGCTTAGTAACTTTGTTTGTAAATTGGCATAGCGTGTTGTACTTGTACGTCAAAGATTAAGCCAAGCAATTCACTGAATTGATTTTGATATAACTTGTATAATATTTCTACTTTTAACAGATTATATACTGGGTGATTTGAAAGAAGAGAACTATTTTGTTAGGAAATATCATAATCGGTATAATTCGACATATCCCTTTGAGCCACGGATTCAACAATGGACTGGCTATAAATTACCTGAGAAACTTGTGCCTTGGTTTCATAATACGGTCTCGCTCGTTCAATAGATTTGCCATATTTTTTCGTTAATTTTTGCAGCTGTTGTGTCGCACTAGCGAGAGATGCCTTGAACTTTTCTCGATATTCATTCAGCTCTGTTTCCAACTTATTTATTTCATCAGTAGACTGATTAAGAGTGTCAAGCTCTCCCTGGAAGTGGAATTACACAAATACTATCATTGTTAATTATCGAAAAAACGAAAGAAGCAAGGTATTAAATATATTCAATATGCCCACGAACAAACGGTTGAAAAAAGTTTGAAATAGCTACTGCTCGCTGTTTAGAATATCGGAAATTGTTAAAAAACGACCCAACCGTCATCTTGAGCGATAAATTTGATAATTTCCATTGCTCACACACTCTTTGGCTTCAGGCATCAATACTCCATCAAATTTCAATTAGGTAAAAAACACGTCCACAATTATCACAAAATAAAAAAAAATCACGATTTTTTTTCACAGTGTATAACTTTTTCTTGGAAGGATAAAATTACTAATCACGTTACGGTTTATTTAAATGCCGAACTACTTTGGTCCTGACTGTTATTTCATAAACCACGGAGACCACAAAAGTACAGATACTGGTACCGTATATAATGTGTGTGCAAATTCAGAAGTATATTTTTCCTAAGTCAGTATTAAATTCTATTTTAATGATTTTGCGTATTATTGTAACTTCATTATTTATTTAGATCTTGCTGTGTTGAACTGTATGTCAGCTTCGACTACGAACATCGGGTTAAAAGTATCATTCGAATGATTTTCCCACCAACAATTATCGACAATGGAAATTTATTATAGGTCAGCAAATATGATGGTGGAAAAAATAAACCCGCTTTGGATGGGGGTACTAAATTTATATATGTACTAACAATACTTGAACTAAAGTTCTGATTTTGAGGGCAGCATTGTTCTCACAAATGAGTTTATGCAAAAAATCGCTGTCAATGGCGTCACTGTGGGTATTATAATCAAATAGTAGATAGGGATGGCTCACGTAATTCGCGTTTTTTTTCGTCAAAAACAAAACAAATTGACTGAATTTAGCGTGAACCGAAAATTAATCTTGCGACTCGATCGTATTCCCAGGAGAGATTTTGCCGAGATAATTTCTTTTCGGTGAAATCGGGCTAATCTACAACAGCATTATTAAGCGCAGGTTCCAGGAGAAGTAAAATCCGTGCTTTTGTTTTGGCTTCTGAATGATTGATATGGTGTCAGAACGATGACATCGAGATGTCAAGCATAACTTTCAGGTGAAAATTTATTCTCTCTTCACCAATGAAATATTAAATTTTATTATCTCATTCTCTTTTTATTTATTTAATATTATGGAATTATGGGGGAATTCAAGGGCAATTATCGATTTTCTATAAAATTAGCATTTGCTAAAAATGTGTTATTGAAAAGAGGACTGGAATGTGGCATATTATATTCATTTGTGAGTGCTATTGTCGAAAAGCATATATCGACAAAATTATATTTATTAGAACATGCGTAACCGCACAAAAATCAGAAAGTTTTTAGGCAAAAATTATTCAGATGTAATTGGAGGATACGAATACATTTATCACCCCAAAATCCAAAAAATGAGTTGGATAAAAAATGTTTTAAGAAACAACCTAATTTACTGTATACAAAATATTTTGTTAACGATGAAACGTGAATAATATATAAAATATACTTTTATAGAATTGAACATGAATCATTTCTCGAATAAGGTGCTTTTCAAGACCTTTTCAACCTACTGTAGCAAGCGTTAATTTCCGCTCAGTCAGAAACATCTATCATACTAAATCACTCGACCACACCGAAGATAGAATTAAATATTTCATTTTTTTCTGATCAGTTAGGTTGGAATTCAAATAACTATTTTGCTCGAGTTAACGTAAAGCTAGATTTATTAAGTATTCTATCAATTTGTAACTATCAATTTGAATATTACGAACCTTTATTCTTGGATCAATTTCATCATCAAAAACATCATCTTCCTCAGACATATTCCTTTTTGATACCTTGTCAATTATTTGCCACAGTGCATTAGTTTAAATTAGAATAATTGATTTTTCAATTAGTTAGTGAACCTAATAAGAAACTGTGCATTTTATGCCTTTTCTAGTAACTCTTTGTCGCCCAGATGCGACTGACATAAAAAACGTCTTGTCGCTATCTATTCCGGCTGTTTAGTTAGATTCAGCATATCCTATGTGGATTGTTTTTATTTACGGATTTTTGAACCTTGTGAAATACCTCTGCCCGGGAATAAATCTATGTGATATGTTTTCTTTCTTGTAACAACGCGCCTGTCTAAGCTTTGAGTAACCCAATTGATAATACTAATAATAATGAGATCGAGAAAAATTTTCTGCATCCATTGGGGCTTGAATCTATTGTATAACTAAAAACTAATAATATAAGTAATGAAAAACAACTGTTACAACAGTAATAATCCGGTTAACAACAATAGTTACAACACTGTTTCTGTCGTATATACATACTCCTTGCTGAATTTGTTTAATCGAGGTGTTGCAGTCCAAGTGAGACCCGTTCTTGGCATAGCGAAAGTATTTTATCATTGCTCGGAAACAATACAAACACTATGATGTTGATGTTAATCAGTAACCCAAATGCATTCTCGCACCTGGTACAAGCACACTCCTTTGCAACGACTGCCCTTCGTATTGCAGTTTCATTATGAAATAGAGCAGATATTTCACGCTTGTTCAATCATGACATGTGCTTATCTACAACAAGCGACCGTACAAGATCAGCATATGTGTATATTTTTCATTTAGGTATATAATTTATAGATAGTCTGTATATGTACCCGAAAATATCTTTTTGGATGCGCAAAAAAATGATGGAATTAATAATGGTGTTTCATATCAAAATTACAACTGGCGCAAAATATTCCAACATTTATAATAACAAGCTTTTTATTTGCCGGAATTAGGGATACTTAATTCGCAAACTTAGCAGCATCTTGCCTAAAAATGTATACCCTATATACAAAATAATGAAAAATGATTTCGGAATTGTAGGCCTGCTGTGATGCTTACTTCTCTATCATTGTGCGCCAGGGCAAAAATGTGAAAAGGAAAGATCTACACTACTAATGGCAGTGTAGAATTCTGAAGTAAGTAAAAGTTCGAGTTATAAAATAGAAGAAATGTACTATGATGCTTGAATGCTCACCGGAGTTAGAGTTGACTGATAAAATCTGAATGCTCAACAGAAAAGAAAATGCAATGTACTCTGTAACGTGATGTAATAATACTGGCGACAAACAAAGAAAACACTATATAAACAATATAAATCTGATAACATTTGTAACACTGCTCAAAGGTGAAATTTATATTTTCGCCAGTTGACACGCAAACTGAAAGAAAAAAACCCTTCATATGACTACGTTTAGATTCGATACATTTTGACACAATGCCAAAATAGGTATTCCTAAAAATCACCCAGAATTATATTCGGCCACACGAATCCATTGCCATCGGGATGTGCACCATTTACGCTAGACACATAAATGCAAATTTTCCAATTTGTATCAACCAGGCATTTCCGTGAGAGACATCCCATGGGATGGAACAGACATAACTTGGTATGGGACGGGACAAAAAATTATGTCTTATGGCAAACGTCGCATGGTATGGGATTGGTCAGAAAATATGTCCCATGAACAAGTTTGGTATAAATATTTGATCAAAAGTGACCTCGAAAAGTGAGTCCACCAATAGTCAATGTTTACTCAAGCCAGATGAAGTGTAGAACCATCTATAAAGAAGAGATGACTGCGGGCTAACAAGCAAATATGTTATGGTACATAATGCACAAACCTTCTATCGCATAGCCATAGAACAATACGCAATTAATTACAATTCGCGAATATATAACACATAATTCGTTGTGACTGATCAAAAATTCAGGGCTATTGGGTACAGCCAACTAGGTTAACCACTTTCTAATAACAGGCGTGTTGAAGCTTGGGAGATGGTATAATTTCCGAGTTCAACAGTGAGTTCTACCTATGAATCACTCTAATGAAATTTTGTAAAAGTTTTCGACCAGCCATATATAAAAGAAGAAATAATATCAAAGTAAGAAGCAGTGGAATTGGCCTTGGACAATATCTTGTTTTTTATTCATGCTTCGGCCGCTTTTGGTTTCTTTTTGTGAGTAGTTGATTCAATGAGCTTCAATTTTCTCCAAACTTGTGCTTTGTCCCTATCTGCTTTTGTTATTCTACTGAAATCGAAATACTGAAGTTGCGGGATTGTCATTATCACATATTGCCTGAAAATAAATAAGGTATAAGTTGTTAGGGAAAGCAAAAAATTATGAAGAAAAACGCATAGAAATATTGCGCGATTTCAAATTTCCAATTCGTGGTTTCAACAATGATCCAATGGATAAAACAAACTTCAAATGAGTTTTTTCTAAAATGAATTTGTTTAAACTTCAGAAATATGTTTCAGGGATAGGACGAAATTAGGTGATACGGTACACATTTATTCTCCAACATGGCGATCTCACTCTGCCGTAATGATAGTTATATAAGCCATACTTGACGAACGGGTCACATAAATGAATGGCAGATATTAACTACCTAGAGGCACTACCTAGAGAGTGCGAATAACCATAGCAATATACCTGTATCCTTTCTTTCCCTCAATCATATTTCCGTGCAGGGTTAAAGTTTTGAGATGAGGAAGTGCAGCTAGTTTATCGACTTGTTTCAGATCATCAATGTAATTCGCATGAAGGTAAAGAACTTTCAAATTTGGATATTCTAAGATAACCTGAAAAATGTTATTCATTGTAAAAGTGGATTCAGATATATTTGAAAATATTTGGTTATATTTGAATATATAATTAGAAATTTGTATCAAAGTTTCGAACGGAAGGAATGAAAATATAAAATAATTTAAAATAAAATGATACAAATCATGATACAAAAAAGAAACAAGGCAAAATCAAAGATTTGTAGCAACGAAGGAAATGAATATTGAAATGACACAAATGACAAATATTTTGTAACATCTAATCAGATACACATTATACTTTAATAAAAATATATATACATTTGAAAAGTAACCTTGATGGCAATAAACTACTTATTTATTTCTTTGTCTTCGAAACTTTGTAGATTCTGATAACAAAATTCAACATGACTTATTTAACTCACGTTATCAATCTTTGTTAAATCATTGAATGACAAGTCGATCCATTCAATCGATTCTGGATCTTCAAGAACTGCCTGTAATCCGCTGCTGAAGTTCTCAAGTCTAGCTAGTGAGTTGTTCCCAAGCTTTATTGCTTTGCTAAATAAATAACCAAAACAATCGTATATTTTTATAGTGAAGAAAACTGATATATACTATCGATAAGCAACGAGTTGAACGTCAAGAAATATTTTTTTTTGATGACTTACAAAAACGAAGTCAGTTTGGTAAACTAAACTAAACAGACAGATCAAAATATATTCTATAGCAATTAGATGATGTATTTTCTCCAGACAGTGTATAAATGAACGAGAGTTGTAACATTGGCGGGGATGAGAATGAGACCTTCAACATTCATTTCCTCAACACCATAAACACTCCGTTGATATCGTCTTTTAGATTTTATTCATATGCAGAATATAATATATAGAATAAACTTACAAAAAGTGCAAACAAAAATACATATATACCTGCAATATTTATAAAATTGTCTTGGCTCATCATTCTTTTTGTCATTGTCATCGGGAAACAAAGGTTCTTCGTCATTTTCATTCTTTCTTTTAACTTCAATTTTTACGTATTTATTAGGTCCTTCGCGTGGATCAACTTTGCATATATCTGAATCAGATTTTATACATCCTATTTTGATTAACTTGGATTAATTAACTAAGTGTACCCGTAGCATTTGACTGGGGAATTACAATTTTGTTGACCTTATTTCTTCCCCTAAAGTCATCCCAGGCGTGTTGAGATTTGGGGTTTAAATTCATAAATATATTAATAATTTGGAAAAGCCGGATTGAAATACCTTGTCGTCCGTGTTCACTTAACGGTTACTTTTTTATAACATTATAATGAGCTAATAGTCGACACAACTCGCAACTTTTAATTCCATGTCATGAAAGAAACAATATAAGAGATATCGCTAATGCTCACCTGTTACAGCTCTTAAATCTCTGAAGGTAAAATCCACCGGCGGACCCGACTTGTGTGCGACGTCCATATCTTCTTCAGGTTGCATATTGGCCAATATCTCGTGTAGAGCTTGCCTAAATTAGAAAAGATAATGCTTATCAATTGTACGCTACATCAAGTATGGCAATATGAAACACACTCCATGAGGTGAAGTTGCCCCGTGGTGCGTGCGTGATCAAATTCAGTTACCACAGTAAGTCAACATTATAATAGAGTAAATTTGAATGGTTTTAAAGATTAAGCATTCTGTGAAATATTTGTATATGCGTTCATGATCTCTGAAAAGCAAACAAAATCAATTTGCTTTGTCTTAATGTATTATTAGTGAAAATCTCTTGAAAACCATTCAAATTTTTTTCTCGTTTTCGTTCTAACCCATTTATCAAATATTTGATACACCAATTTAACATGCTCAACCATTCGAAAAATAAATTATATAAAAAATGTTTTTTATGTTGAAAATAGAAAGCATAAAAAATGTTCAATCAAAAAAACAACAACGAAATATTCTGTTATGGATCATTGCTGGATTACAGCTATACATCGTTCCGTGCGATTTACTGGCAAGCACCAATTGGCAGAAACAATCCAGCAATTAAGAATTGTCAGATTTTGATCCTATATAAGTATATAATGACGTTATTTCTTAGCGAAAAGGGTGATCATTTTTCTAACGGCGATGCCACCTTTTGAGTAGACTTTATTGTCTTAATCAGCAGAAAATAGAAACTAGTTGAAAAATGACACAACTTTCACAACATTGATATATCTATCTGTAACTCACTTATAAGATGTTGTGCTTTTGAGTGAAGCACGACGTACGGACGATTTGCTGGCAACTGATGCTGCCATTGTAACCTATTGTATTGACTTTGACCTAATCTTAAACTTTGCATCAAAAACATGAATCATTTTGTATATTTCCTAGTCTAATTCATTGAGGTAGAAACGATTCTCGAAATTACTTTACTGAATTTCAATGATATATCAAGTTCTGTTTACCATTCACGTATAAATTCGAGTTTATTTTACTATATTGCGTGATCTTTTTAAACGAAAGGAAGCATTCCATTATTAATAAAACTCAAAGGGAACTTCCGTAAACAAAGTCAAGTTTGACAGACGTGACTCTCAAATTTACTTAACAAAACCAAAACAAAGGTCAATTCTATCATCAACTCTTTTGAAATATATTCTAAAATTAACCTGTCGAAAGAAATAACCAATAGGAAAACGTATTTTAGAAATGAAATAAAACTTATTAGAGGCCATACTATCGGCTAGGTTTAAAAATTATCACGTACATTTTGTATCCATTTTGCTAAATATTAAGATTTTATCAGAGGGATAAATAATACTGAATCGTACATAGAACTACAAGGATACCAAGTATGTCCCTGGCTTGGCTTTGTGCCAAGGACAATTTCATTTGTGTTTATATATGATTATATTGCATCGGTATTTATTGCTCAGGAATATTTACCAGTCCGTTAAACTAGTTCTCCCTTATTGAGTCGTACAAAACGATACAGATAATAAAGCTTATATCTGGACAGTGCTTTTAAGAGGGTAAATATTTATTGGACATAATATTTACCTACGTATACACAGACCCTCAATACCTGAATCGTTATTCAAGATTTCGAAAACGTAAATTTTCAGCGTTTGTTATTTGGTTACAGAATCACAGCATGAAGCGCTGATTTGTGATCTTTTAATAAATTGCATATATATATATATGCTAGTCTTTTGCATTTTTCCAACGAGGACTAGGGGTTTACAACAAGCGGCGCTAGCCCGTTTAAAATAATCCCTTCTCTTGTCTAAATCTTCCAAAATCGGAAAGCATCAAAACTTCAAAACGGAAATAGTAATAGAACTCCAGCGAAATATTCTCACTACTATCTAAGATAGGCTTTCGATAAAATGTTGTAAGTTTAGTATCAACTTTCAAAACGGTCAATGTACGATAAAACTTACATTTTTAAAACTTGTTCTTCTGTTTATAGTACTTTAAGATAATCTTGTAGCCAATCGGTCTAGCATCCGAGCCAAGCAGATTTCTATCGACCAGCAGGCTACGGTAGATTGTATTGTAAGCTTTAGGTGACATGATTTTATTTGGATGAAACAATAGCGGTGTTGTGTTGCTTCATTTACGTTCAATTAACAAAGCATGGGCAAACACAAAAAGAACGAATGTTTTAGGCAGCGTGTCCCATTGTTTTATAGCGGTGATATTTCGTTTTAAAGGGCGTAAGGTATTCGATAATAAAATTCCATTTATTTATTCCATTTCACAAACATGGTGGCTTAGAACACTTTTTACTAAGTTAGACACTCTCTCCATCTCTGCTTTCAGCTTCCAACGATATTTTGATTAACATACCTGGTATCATCTTCTGAACTCAGCATTTCCATCATTGAGATCCAATCTCAGAAATGAGCTGTTGCTGGACTGACTAATTCCAGAGAATATGAATCTCCGATCTCTCAAAAATCCAAAGAAATTATTACGCGAAGAAGCGCTCGATGAAATGCCACAAAACGATCACTTATTATTATTGAATCAAAACAGATGGTTAGTTGGCTTTCGGCCAATACAATCATATTGTATTTATCTTTTAACTGCGGGGGAGCAGTCAAACACTCCAGTCATAATTGTATAGTCGTGGGCTAATTGGGTGGAACCAAGATTTTTCGAGGAGTTACTAAGTGTACCGACATACAGAACCACCTGATTAATTGTAGATCATTTTGACTTTGTTAGTTTGAAAAACATACAGTTGTGGAATACGACGGTGATAAAATTAATATCTTTGATTAGTTGATCAGTTCAACTTTGAATATATGAAACGACATTCTTTAATTGACCATTCATTTTTCATTAGTCATTACCAACAAAAATCACTATGTTTTGAATAACAAGGTACGGAATTTACTAATATAATGGCAGAAAGTATGAAAAATAGGATTATAATCAAATTTGAAAACAGATCATTATAATGAGGTCGGATCGTTGCAATGCTTTTTGTTTATTTTTTAGAACTTCAGAGAACTCTCAAACGATCATTGTGCTTGGGGATTTCAATTTTTGTTCTTTTTTAAAAAGCCGTAATTAAACAGGAGTTTCACCACACGTTATTGATTTTCTGATCAATCATCTGACATAAACATGAAGAGATTCATTAGGACATTTATTGTATTCAACATACATTTCAAATCATTTATATGCTTATATGATTGTCTGTACATGAGGGAATATTTATAAAAATCGTCTATCTCTTTGAAAGCTTCATCTTCCTCCACCGCCATAACCGCCATAATGATAAACCTTGTGCGCATTCCTACAGTCGCATCCACACGGTGTCTGGAAATAAGTAAACATTTGGTCACTTCGGTATTATTAATAAAATAGAATACTCAAGACAAGCTGGCAATGGACAAGCGTAGTTACAGCTCGGATTAAAATACAATGAAAGCAAACGATTCGAACCTAAATTACCACTCAGAAAAAAATGTCGGTCATGCTTAATTGTTTGGCTTATTGGAAATTAAATCTTCGATATCTAATTTTAAATAAACTTGTTGATATGTTCGCATAACATCCGATAAACAATCGTGGGTGTTGATTTGGAAACGCAAGAGATTCATTATATTCAATGATCTAGATCAGGGCTTCTCCACTATTTTCACCAAAGGTCCGTACACAAAATTGAAATGACAAGGCTTCAGTTGTTAGCCGAGTGCCGACTTTTTTGAAAAGATCGCCCCCATGGCACCCGTAAAATAAATATATTCAAGTCTTACACAATTTTTCCAGCTACTTAAATTATCTTTAAGACTGAAAAATTGGAATATATTAATACTTGCTGACAGAAGCGATTATTTCAACCAATATTAATAAAAGCCACAACGTCAACAAGAATTTTAGCAAAACGATTCATTAGTCGACCTCGTTTCCAATAGCAAAGTTATTTTTCAATCGTTAGTCTGAGAAATTACATTTCTTCGTTTTTGCAATTGTAGGAAGTGAGAGTATACTATAATGTAAAATCGAGTTATTTGATCTACTTTTAAATTTCAAAATTAGAACTAAAAACTGGCGAATAGCATGCAAAGCCACATATTTACCACCATGTCAATAAAATGAGTGAAAAATGTATCCAAACGACCGCTAAAATTTCAATTTGTACGCCACCATTGACATGGTGAAATTGACATTGCTGATGAGCGAATGCTAGGCAATAAACAAATGAGTCGATGCTCTGAGAAACAAAGATTGCTATGGCAATTTTTATCCTCGGGGGTTTAGAGCAGTGCTCCGCAACCTTTTTTAACTTGCGGCAAACTTATAAAACTTGACAAATTTGAAGGCACACCACAACAAACGAAAAATACAAGGTGTAACTTTGTTTTATGTTCATATAACAATGAGAGATTTGTGGTTGTTTTAATGAGCACAATCGCTCTATATTAGGATCATTGCGTGACGCGCAATCAATTTTGCAACACGATAACTAGCTTCTAATACTTTTTCGGAGACTGTAAAAGACGACTTCACAGAGCACCCTTGCTTCTTATTTTGACTTAACAACCGCTAGAAATAATTTATATTCTTGCGTGCATGAACGGCATGTTTCATATTCAAGTGGCGCATAAGTTTACTCAGAAACATTGCTTCATTTGAAAATTGATCCCCCCAAATAACCCAGACTGGTTTTGGAGAATCTCCGTTACCACAGCAAGAAAATCCATATTTGACGTAATCTTCCCTGTATTTCCTTTTGACAAGTTTTTTTTTTCCAACGTTGCATGTGCTAGGTACAATATGTTGCTCAGTATCAGCTGTTCTTTTTAAAAATTTATCCATTTTGCTAAACTTTAACGTTCCTTGACTATTTTATTCAAAGACCCCTGGGCACTGATTCTGCAAACTCACACTTTATTTATATTCGATTACTACACGTGCTATGTTTTAGCTTCGACAATAGGCTTTACAATATATATACATGCTTGCCATATAGGCCTACTCGTTGTTACGTCACAAATGCACAGTGGGGGGTGTCAGGAATTTGAATTGGTGTCGCTCAAGCTAACGTAAAAGCAGGTTAACTTTATGTTAGTATAGTAGAGTGGTAGACTAACGCAAAATTAACAAAAGATAAAAAATAATTTGCAATGAGAAAAAGAAGGGGCAATTCCTGTGTGGCACACCTGGCATCGTCTCGAGGCACACCGATTGCGGAGCACTGGTTTAGAGGAACATGCATTACATCACGATTGTGAAATACAAAAGAAACATTACATTCAAATTTTAAATTTTATACCCAACAAGTCCGGGGATTCGTGCGCCGCGGTCCGCCAGTTAAGTACGCCTTATCTAGATTACGTGGGTATTGATGTGAGATCCGATATTCTTAAAAATGTAAACGGGAAGTTCAATTACGATGACAACTTACCTTTATAACAACATTTCCTTTGTATAAGTTTCCATGTTCCTCGTAGATTGTGTGTATGTCACGGAAGCACCAAATAGTGAAACATTTACAAGAGATCTCTTCACCATCTTCATTTTTCTCTGGCTCAGGATACAGATGTGGTTCTTTGTCGTCATGGGGTTTTACCAACTTACAGCTTGCATACATTTTTCTTGAAAATAATTTTTTTTTGGAACTACAAGTTAATACAACTATATCATAAAATATGAAAATTCATACGTGACGCAGAAAAATAATTATAATTTATTTTGAGATGAAAAATAGAATTACAACCAACTGGGAATTTTCTTTAATTTCATTCACCGAAAATTCTTTTTTTAAATATGTATATCCACGATTATACCAATTGGTTGCCTTGGCGTTAACGGTTTAGTTT